TTTACCAGGGAAAGGCTTAAGGGTCAAACTGTGTCTATGGCCCCCGGTTTATAACAACAGCGGCTCCCGCCTGAGATTTCCTCATTATTTATTGAAGAATCGCGCTCTCGCTTGGGATTTCCTTGCAATTTACCACCGGATCGCCGCTCCCGCTTGATACTCCTTCACAATTTTTCCCAGAAGTCCTGTGGTGTTGGGTCCGTTTTGAAGAGACGATCCCCGCGTCCTCCTCTCCTCTCCTCTCCTCTCCTCTCCTCTCCTCCTCTCCTCTCCTCCTCTCCTCCTCTCCTCTTCACCCACCCAGTACACCGTTTCGTGGCCCCATAGGGAGCTCCGCCGAAGGCCCCAGTGCTGCCGCCCGCATGCGTCCCGCACACCCAATTCGGCACACCCCTCACACGTTTCGTGGCCCCATAGGGAGCTCCGCCGAAGGCCCCAGTGCTGCCGCCCGCATGCGTCACCCACACCCAATTCGGCACACCCCTCACACGTTTCGTGGCCCCATAGGGAGCTCCGCCGAAGGCCCCAGTGCTGCCGCCCGCATGCGTCACCCACACCCAATTCGGCACACCCCTCACACGTTTCGTGGCCCCATAGGGAGCCCCACCGAAGGCCCCAGTGCTGCCGCCCGCATGCGTCCCGCACACCCAATTCGGCACACCCCTCACACGTTTCGTGGCCCCATAGGGAGCCCCACAGAAGGCCCCAGTGCTGCCGCCCGCATGCGTCCCGCACACCCAATTCGGCACACCCCTCACACGTTTCGTGGCCCCATTGCTGCCGCCCCACCGAAGGCCCACAGTGGCCCATGCCGCCCACCGAAGGCCCCAGTGCTGCCGCCCGCATGCGTCCCGCACGCCCAATTCGGCACACCCCATCACAGGCCCCGTTTGCGTGGCACCCATAGGGAGCCCCACAGAAGGCCCCAGTGCTGCCGCCCGCATGCGTCCCGCACACCCAATTCGGCAGACCCCTCACGCGTTTCTTGGCCCCATAGGAAACTCCACCGAAGGCCCCAGTGCTGCCGCCCGCATGCGTCCCGCACACCCAATTCGGCACACCCCTCACACGCGTCGTGGCCCCATAGGGAGTTCCACCGAAGGCCCCAGTGGCGGCGCTCACATGCGCATGCGTCCCGCACACCCATTTCGGCACATCCCTGACAGGTTTCGTGGCCCCATCATCCACCAGAGGCCCCAGTGGCGGCGCTCACATGCGTCACCCACACCCACCCAATTCGGCACACCCCTCACACGTTTCGTGGCCCCATAGGGAGCTCCACCGAAGGCCCCAGCGGCCGCGCCCACATGCGTCCCCGCCACCCATCCCGGCACGCCCCTCACAACAACAGGTTTCGTGGCCCCATAAGGGAGCTCCACCGAAGGCCCCAGTGGCACCGCCCGCATGCGTCACCACCCGCACCCAATCCGGCACACCCCTCACACGTTTCGTGGCCCCATAGAGAGCTGCACCGAAGGCCCCAGTGGCGGCGCTCACATGCGCCCCCGCCACACATCCCAGTACACCCCTCACGCGCTTCTTGGCCCCATAGGGAGCTCCACCGAAGGCCCCACTAGCGGCGCTTACATGCGTCTCCGCCACCCATCCCGGCCCCCCCCCGCAGCAACATCATGTTTCGGGGACCCATAGGGAGCCCCACTGGAGGCCCCAGTGGCGGCCCGCACATGCGTTTCCGCCGCCCATGTCGGCACGCCCTGCGCGTGTTTCATGTTCCCATATGGAGCTTCGCCGAACGCCCCAGTGGCACCCATCTCGGCACACCCCTCACACGTTCCGTAGTCCTATGGGGAGTTCCATTGAAGATGAAACCCGCAGCTGCGGTACTGACAACTGCATATGGTTGGGTTCTTCGCCAGGCTAATTTTAAGAATCGCGCTCTCGCTTGGGACTTCCTCGCAACTTACCACCGAATCGCGGCTCCCGCATGATATATCCTCACAATTTATTCAGATGCCGCTCCTCGACACTCAGGAATCGCGCTCCCGCTACATATTGCCTGGCGGTTCAAACAGAATTTACTCTTCAACGACCCGCCCGCTCGACCCGCCCGTCTGGGCTTGCCCGCCCGACCAGCCCGTTATTGACTGCAGTCGCCGCTCGTTGCCCCTCGCCCGCATTCGATGCCCCTCGCTGGCCGTTTTGGTTCCGCGGTCGCCTTCGCTCGCTGCCCTTCGTGGCCCCGTTGCTGCCCTCAGTGGCCCCGTCGCTGCCCATTGTGGCCCCGCATTCTATGCCCTTCGTGGCCCCCGCTCGCTCGCGCCCTTCGTGGTCCCATACGCATTCGTTTCGTAGCCCCGCTGTCGTCCTTCGTGGCCTTCTCGCTGCCCTTCGTGGCTTAATTTCTGCGCTCAGTGGCCCCGCTGTCGCCCTTTGTGGCCCCATATATGCATGCCCTTCGTGGTCCCCGCTCGTTCGCTCCCGTCGTGGCCCCATATGCATGCCCTTCGTGGCCCCGCTGTCGCTTTTCGTGGCCCCCTCTCTGCCCATCGTGGCCCCGTTTCTGCCCTCAGCGGCCCTGTCGCTGCCCTGTGGCCCCGGATTAATTGCCCTACGTGGCCCCCGCTCGCTCGCGCCCTTTGTGGTCCCATAAGCATGCGTTTCGTCGCCCCGCCGTCGCCAATCGTGGCCCCCTCGCTGCCCTTCGTGGCATAATTTCTGCGCTCAGTGGCCCCGCTGTCGCCCTTTGTGACCCCATATATGTATGCCCTTCGTGGCCCCCGCTCGTTCGCGTCCGTCCTGGCCCCATATGCATGCCCTTCGTGGCCCCGCTGTCGCTCTTCGTGGCCCCCTCTCTGCCCATCGTGGCCCCGTTTCTGCCCTCAGCGGCTCCGTCGCTGCCCTTTGCGGTCCCCTATGCGTATGCCCTTCGGGGCCCCCGCTCGTTTGCGCCTTTCGTGGCCCGCGCCAACAACGGCTCCCGCTTGATACTTCCTTAGAATTTGTTGAAGAATCGCGCTCTCGTTTGGGATGTTTTGCAATTTTCCACCGAATCGCGGCTCCCGCCTGATATCCCCTCACGGTTTATTGGAGAATTGCGCTCTCGCTTTCGACTTCCTCGCAACCATACGCATGCCCTTAGTAGCCCCGCTGTTGCCCCTCGTGGCCCTCTCGCTGCCCTTCGTGGCCCCTTTGCTGCCCTCAGTGGCCCCGCTGTCGCCCTTTCTGGCCCCATATACGACTGGTTCCACGACGTTCGTTTCTGACGCCAGTTCGCAGTTGTACGTCCCCCCGTGGGGGTATCCACGATATGTTCTTTCAAGGCGGTGGTACGTGGCGCTGTTTATGGCGCGACCCGTGGCGAAACTTCTTGTTCACCTGTGTTGGGGTGGCTGGCGCAAACCATGGCGCAATCTGAATCGCCATTCGCAGCGCAAATCATTGTCATCCCTCCTTCTTGCCCCTCCCCTCCCTTCCTCCGATCCCTTCGTCCTCATTCCCCCCGTTATCTGTTACCCTTCGTGTTCAAATGACTTACCAACCACACGTGGCAGGGAATGACTATACCCCCAAAGTGGGGTACGATCGAAGACGAAGAGGGCGGGTATCCAGGGCTTGGGATATGCATATTGAATGATACGCGAACAGATAAAAGCGAACAGTCTTTGTCGTGTTGTTGTTGTTGTTGTTGTTGTTGTTGTTGTTGTTGTTGTTGTTGTTGTTTTTGTGGTTGTTGTTGTCGTTGTCGTTGTCGTTGTCGTTGTCGTTTGGCGGGCTTTGTTGTTGTTGTCGTTGTTTTCGTTGAATTCGCATTCTCGAACAATAATTATTGTTAATCCCCCCCTCCGGTGGCCGTTGTGTTTTTCAATGGAAGTGTTTCCCCCGGAACTCGCTTTTTTTTTGTCAGGGAGAGTCGCTCGGGTCAAACTGCGTTTTATGGCCCCCGAACCACAACAAGGGCTCCCGCCTGATAATTTCCTCACAAGTTTCCCAAGTTGCACTCTCGCGCGGGACTTCCTCACAACTGATTGAGGAATCGCGCTCTCGCGTGGGAATTCTTCACAGTTTATTCAGACGCCGCGTCGTCGACATTCGGGAGTCACGCTATCGCTGTGGATTTCCTCACCATTGGTCTGGGAATCGAGGTGTCCCTAGAGATTTCTTCGCGACTCATGCAGGATGCACGCTTGAGCAACCCGCCTGCTCGACCTGGCCGACTGGGCCCTCCTTCCCGACCCGCCTGGTAGGGTGTACCCGCCCGATCTGCCTGTCTGGTTCCGCCACGTGCTTTCTATTCCTAGCCACGTGCCTTCTCCTTTGTCCTTGTTGTTGTTGTTGTTGTTGTTGTTGTTGTTGTTGTTGTTGTTGTTGTTGTTGTTGTTGTTGTTGCTGTTGTTGTTGTTGTTGTTAGTCTTGTTGTTGTTGCTGTTGTTGCTGCTGCAGCAGTTGTTGGTACTGTTGTTGTCGTATTTGTTGTCTTTGTCGAGGTTGTCGATGTTTCGTTGTTTTTTGTTGTAATTGTTGCTGCTGCTGTTGTCGTCGTTGTTGTTGGTGGTGGTGGCGGTGATGACGACGACGACGACAATGACGACGATGATGATGATGATTATGATGCTGATGCTGATGCTGATGCTGATGCTGATGATGATGATGATGATGATGATGATGATGATGATGATGATGATGATGATGCTGATGCTGATGCTGATGCTGATGCTGATGATGATGACGATGATGACGATGCTGATGACGATGATGATGAGGAAGGGGATTATGAGGATGAGGATTGTGATGGTGCGTGTGATGTTTTCATGGTGATACTGATGTTGAGCACCATGAGGAGGAGGCACAGGATGAGAAGGATGAGGATGAGGCTTAGGATGAGGATGAGCAGGAGATGGAGCGAGGAGGAAGCGGAGGAGGAGAGAGAAGAAGGAGGAGGAGGAGGAGGAGGAGGAGGAAGAGGAGGAGGAGGAGGAGGAGGAGGAGGAGGAGGAGGAGGAGGAGAAGGACGACCTCCTCCCCCCCTCCTCCGTGGCCAGGATCTGAAGCCCTGGCTGCTCGAGGTCAACCTCAGCCCCAGCATGGCGGCGGAGTCCCCGCTGGACAAGCAGGCCGGCGCGGGCCGCCCCCCCCCCCGAGCGGACCCTCCGAGGGCGCCCCGCTCCGACTGCGCCCCGACTGCCACCCCCCGGGCCCCTCCGACGTCGCGCGGGAGCTTTGAGACGGGGGTCAATGCAAACGGGGGTCAGCCACGTCGGAGGGCACCAACTATACACCAACACCGATCCTGGCCCAGGATCACCCTGGGCCCAGGATCGGTGTATATGCCTTCTTGCGCAAGGCAGGAGGGCGTATACACCGATCCTGGGCCCAGGGTGATCCTGGCCAGGATCGTTGTTGGTGTATAGTTGGTGTCTTCCTACCACGGCACCGGATCCTGCAGGATCTTGCGAAAACCCCCTGTGGCTGACCCGGGTTAGCGAGCCGCCCGTGGCCGCGAGGCGGCCGCACATATGGGCGGATCCAGGTTTGCGAAGACCTGCGTTGCATTTTTTTTTTTTTGTTGTTTTTTTGCATTGCAGTTTTTGGTTTCCTGCTGACCCGGGTCCTGGATTGACCGGGGTCAGAAGATCCCCGAGCTGTGTTGGGTCGCGGTGCCTCTGACGAGTTCCGGCAGCTGGGAGCCCTGGCATCGCTGCCCCGCCCTTGCAGGCCTCGAAGGGCAAAAAGCGTCATCAACAACACACGTAGCAAGGCTCTCCTGCTCATGCGGCGCGGCCGCGGATATGCCCGTTTTAGTTTCAGTCTGTTTGCGCTGGCCAAGGTCTCGCGCGTTGGCTCGCCTGTTGCAGGTTGGCCTTCAGGTGATTCCAAGCTTGCCTAGTGCATGTGGTCGGGCACCAGCGGTGTGTTTGCGGAGGAATGAAAGCGGCATCAGCATAAACTTGTAGCGTTCCGCGCGGACTTCTCGGATCAGCGCTGGGCCCCCCCCCAGTGGCGCCGGCGCCTCCGGCGCCGCCGCTGGCGCGCTTTGCGCGCCACAGAGGGGTCCAGCGCAGACCCAAGATTTGTTTTTCGCGGAGCGCAGACAGTTGATGTTTGTGCAGTTATTTGTTCCTGTATGGCATTGCTATCCCGCCCTTGCAGCCAAAACCTGCTCATGCTCTGTCGGCGGCGGTGGAGGCTCTGAGGCGGGAGGTGGAGGAGCAGCCCCTCGTGTGATGCCCCGTGGATTCCGAGGGCGAGTCCTCCGATTGGTGGTCTGAGCTGACGGCCAGTTCCTCGCAGAACTCGGCCCCTGGAGCCCGGGTGCCAGCGGACAGAAAACAGCGCACGACACCCAAAACATGGGGGAAGGGTCGTGCGCGAGCGTTGGCGAGGAGCCGTGTGCTTCGGGCCTCGGAGGCCGCCAGGAAAGGTCCCCGGGACTCAGGAGCGGAAGAAGGACGTACACGTACATGAATCCACGCTGGTTTCGAGAGTTCGCACTGCGCGAGTGTTCGTACCACGCGGCCGGTCTCGCGGATCAAGGGGCTGTATTCATGTACATAGCTGGGCGCGTACGTCCTTTGTGGGCTCCCTAGGGACGGGAGTCGAAGAGCGGACGGAGTGCGTACGATCGGACCGAGATGCAAGATCGAGGTCGATTCGGGGAGGGTGCCCCACAGTCAGCCCACAGAGCGCGCCCGAGGGGCCGGATTTGCGGGAAGGCGCTCGGGCTGAAAGCATCAGGTCGTCGGAGATTTGGGGATCCCGCGGCCCCGCTCCAAGAGCGGATCAGCGTCAGCGTCAGGGCGGATAGGCTCGGGGGGATGCGAACCTTATGGGCACCTTCCCCGATCCGTGGACCTCCGCGCCTACGCGCCAGAGCCACGTATCCGGACAGTCAACCTGCATAGTAAGGATGAGCGACCTTCCAAGATTACCTTTGCATCCCCCCCTTCGGCCCATCCTTGGCCGCTTTCGCTGGCCGCGCCCCGCTCGCAAAGTGTCGACATGGCCTTCCAGGGCGCCTGCATCCTCACCGTGCGTCCCCCGCATAGTGAGGATGAGCGACTCTCCAAGATTGCCCCTGCATATCCTCCCCCCCCGCAGCCATTTTGGCTCAAGCAGCGCACGGGTCTTCTCGCTGGGGCCGCTGCCGAGCCTGGCGCCCCAGCGAGCACCGGGGGCGCGCGCGTCGACCATGGAGGCCGCCAGCCAAAACGATGCGGAAACGGGAGTCCAGAGGAGGGTGTTTGTTGCTGTGTGCGTCACGTGGTTCGTGTCGGGCGGTTGCGTTCTGCTCGCCCGCACGGCCAGGCAAGTGAGGCACGGGTCGCACCGATCATCCTTTGCCTCCTGCTTCGGCCAGCTGTTCGGACTGCGAAGGCGCTTGGAGCAGTTCCTGGCTGGCACAGTGGACCACACCTCCGCGAGGCAGGTGGCCCAGGAGTTGCAAACGAAGCGTCTGGTTCACGCGCGTGCCTCGGTCGCATATGGCTGCGTGGCCGTTGCAGGCGCTCTTGGACTCGGTCTCTATAGGACTGCCATTGGTGTCTCCCGGCCGAATTCGTGTGTACAGGACATGTGCCAGTCTGTGGGTTTTTGCATCGTTCTCTTTCTTTGGGCGTTTCCTCAAAGTCTGACGTTAAGAACATTAGATCTATGGTCTTCCTTATTGATGGCATTGGTTGTCCTGTGGGTATCGCCTCTTGCCTCGGCAGACGTTGTTGTGGCCTCCTCATCTCTGTTACCCTTCGGTGCTACTTTGGTGCTCTGCTTGTTCAGCATGAATTTCCGTTTGAACATCACATGCCTATGGAGCGTATCTTTGTCAATCTGCAGCACCATCTATCTCGGCACCGAAAACCCTGTTGAAGAGTTTCTGCCAGACCGGACGCAGAGGGTTACTCAGGTGCTGGTGGCGACTTGCATCTTCGCCGTTTTAGTAACGATCTTTCATCAGTCAGTCTACTTGGTCGTACAGTACGACATGGAAGCTAACATTTCGAGAAACGAGCTGAAGGCTGCGCGCTCGGTGCTGCGGGGCGTCTGCGACGCCGTCGTGGAGCTGGACAGCGACTTCCGACTGCAGGATGGGTCCTCCGAGCTGGTGAGCATGCTCCTGCTGAACCCCCTGCGCCCCGTCCTGGGCGAGGACTTTCGGCAGTTCCTGGCGTCCCAGCACGACCGCGAGAAGTTCTCCGAGCAGATCGGCAGGGCCTTGCCTCCGAGCGAGGATTCGGTTGGGCCCAGCGCCGAGGATTCGGTGGGGCTCAGCGCGGCGTTCCACGTCTCCATGAGGGACAGCTCCAGCATAGCCCTCGAGGTCGAGATGTTCTGCGTGCGCTTCGTCAAACGGGAGGGGCAGACCGCACACTTCATCGGCATCCGCGAGTTCACAGACATCGCCCCGATGCTGAGGGGCAGCGTGTCGGAGAGGACGCGGCGTGGCGGCAGCGTGAGCGGCCCGCAGAGCTCCTGTACAGCACTCGTCAGGCTCCCGGCCGCCCCTGCGGACTCCACGGCCGAGGCCTCCGGTCAGGCGTCATCGGACGTGAGCTCCGAGGCCTCCTCGCTGGACGAGAAGTGGGAGGGCCTGGGCGCCGAGGCGGAGCCCGTGGCCTGGGTCGACCTCTTGACCCCGACCTACGAAGTGAGGCTCGAAACCTTTGCGTTCACGAAGTACGTGGACGCCCGGGGTGGGCTCCTGTCTGCCGTGCGGCAGTCCCAATGGGAAGAGTTCATCGTCTGGGCGCAGCTTTCGTACTGTTCTCTCCTGCAGGAGGGCTCCGACTCCGCTTACCTGCAGTACCCCAAGCGCCTCCGCTTCAGGTCTCCCGCGCAGCAGCGGAGCGCCCACAGCTCGAGGAGCTCGGGGCAGATGCTCTCGGCGCGCCTGCGGCTCGACCTGGAGCGGCCGCCCGACGGCCAGGACCGCGGCCGCGGAGTTGTGCGGGTCGTCCTCCAGGACCTGCTGCTGCGCCGGCGCGCGCCCCCCGGTCCGCGGCGGCTGTCGCGCTACGGCACCCCAACCGCCATCGCCCAGGCCGCCAGCGGCCAGCTGCTGGCCCAGGAGCAGATCTCGCGAAGTGCCGCCCAGACGGCCGCCCTCGCAGGCGGTGCGGCGGCGCGGCCCGAAGCGGCGGACGGCCATGTGCAGCTCCAGGGCCCGGTGTCTCGGCCGCCCAGCTGTGACCCCGCAGCGCGGCCTTCGCAGGCGGTGACGCCGGGGGCAGACACTCGTAGCCTGTGAGGCGCCAGGGCCGCCGCCTCAGCGCGCGCGGGCGCTTGAGCGTGCCGCGCCCCTGCATCATTGTGTGAGATTATTATGCCTAGCGACGGGCAGCATCTCCGGAGCAAGGTAAGGTCTTGCAATGGTGGTGCATACGTGCGGAGCAGTGCATTGCATCCAGGGGATAAAAAAGATTACCATTGCACCCTCCCCCTTCGGCCCATCCTTGGCCGCTTTCGCTGGCCGCGCCCCGCCCGCAAAGTGTCGACGGGGCCTTCCAAGGCCCTTACATCCTTACAGTGCGTCCCCGCATAGTGAGGATGAAGGACTTTTCAAGATTACCGTTATATCCTCCCGCTTCGGCCCATCCTTAGGCCGCTCTCGCTGGCCGCGCCCCGCTCGCAAAGTGTCGACATGGACATGGCCTTCCCAGGCCCTTGGAACCTTCAAGCCAGACGCTGCACAGGAAGTTGATGCTCGTGCAGCTTGCTTGTGCGTCCCCAGAGATCCAACGTATTGAACACATCAAGACGGAGTTTTTCCGTCGTCTTCGGCCGCGATGGGCCCTCGCTGGGTTCCGGGGCCGTCAAAAAATCACAACCTACCAAACCACCCCAACCCTACCCCGAAGGCCCAAATTCACCTTCGATTTCCAGTGGGGGAGGAGGTCGGGGAACATCGAAAAAGCACATGCGGAACCCGTACCCCCCCAACCCGAAGCTGGGGTCGTCGGGTCAGGTTGGGGTGGTCTGGCAGGCAGTCAAGGCAGGTTCAGAGTGACACACGGGCCATGGGGAAGTTGCCCAGACTTCCGAGGGACCACACGTCGAGCAACGTTGGAGCGCTGGTTGCCTGGGCACAGGCATTACTCCTGTTTTTCGTCCTGCTCCTCGAAGATCAAGACGCTCTTGCGCTCGTCTCGGCCTTCATCAGGAGGCAGTGGCCAGTAGAGAAAGGCCTTGTCAGCGTTCGGCCCGGCCGGGATACTTGAGGTGGAGACTGTGCATGTGTTGAGCGAACCGTAGCCACTGAGGCTCGAATCTAGACATCACTAGACGCGTCCTAGGGCAAGGCGGAACAAATTGCGCAATCACAGCGTAAGAGCTTTTTTCTTTGATTGTGCCCAAGCGCTGACTTGACTGATTTTGGCTCTGGTGCGGCAGTGCCACGGCCGAGTATGGTCAGTGCTCGGGTATCCTCGGTGGCACTCATGCAGTGTAGCTGAGTCCAGCGCTGACCTTCCTGCGTTACGCGAAGACAAAATGGGGCGCGCTAAGGGCGGCGCTGGAGGCGCCGCAAGGGGGGGCTGGCGCCGATCCAAAACATCTGTGCGGGTTTATGCTTCCGCAGTTTTTCTTATCCGTTTCTTCTGCCTCCCGGGAGCTTCTCTTTCTATTTCCCTGAGGTGAGTGTATGAAGCTTTGATTGTCCAGGCGTCTCCAGTCGATGCTTTGACTTCTGCTTGTCCTTATGGGGGTGGAAACCACCAACAAGTGTAGGAGAGATGGTGGGCAGGAGGAGAGAGAGAGAGAGAGAGAGAGATAGAGAGAGAGAGAGAGAGAAGAGGGAGAAAGAGAGAGAAAGACGGAGGGGGGGCACTGTGTGATCAGATCGCGCTTTGCACAGCGCACATCTTTGGTGCATTTTGTCGGCACCATTGCGCGGTGCCGTTATCAGTAGGACGGGTGGGACACACAACAAACGGGTGTGACAACGCCCTGTTTGTGGAGTTAATCGCGCTCCCCTGGGGTGGTCCTGGGGTGCGCCGCGGGCGCGTGCTCGCGCTGTTAAGTCGGCGCTGCGTTGGAATTCGTTGCTCGCACGGGTTTCGGCCCTCCAAGAGACAAAAAGGGGGAAAAACATGCCATCACCGTAGGGACATCAACATTCGCTTTCCGATATCCGTTGAGATTTCTTGGGTCGGCGCTGGACACTCCCTCCCTGGCGCCGCCTCCGGCGCCGCCCCTGGCGCGCTCCGCTCGCCAAGGCGAGGGGAGGGGTCCCGCGTGGATCTAAGGTTACGGGGGGCGCGTCCTTCTACAGGAGGAATAGTCAAAAACAGTAAATTATCCCAGTGCGACCCTACCTAGGAGTTGGAGCCCCTAGGAAAAGAGCATTAGTAGTAACAGTAAAGCTAAGCTAAAACTAAGCTAAAGCTAAACTAAAGCTAAGCTAAAGCTAAGTTACAGCTAAGCTAAAGCCAAGCTAAAGCTAAGCTAAAGCTAAGCTAAAGCTAAGCTAAAACTAAGCTAAAGCTAAGCTAAAGCTAAGCTAGAGCTAAGCTGAAGCTAAGCTGAAGCTAAATTCTCGACGCTTCGCGTATCCCCACCAGCCCATCCAGTAACGACGCCCAGGCGAGTAGAGGTGATCATGGAAGCGGGGCAGCATACAGAGGAACAAGGGGCTGGGGAGGCCGTCGTACCCCAAGGGGGGGGGGGGATAGAGGAGGAGTCGGAGGCGGAAGAGGAGGAGGATGATGAGGGTGGGGAGGGAGGAATGAGGAGGAGGAGGAATAGGCGGATGATGATGTTGATGTTGATATTGATGATGTTGATGATGACGATGATGGTGGTGGTCTTGACGATGGTGATGGTGATGATGATGATGATGGTGATGATGAGGGTGAGGAGGAGGAGGATAAGGGCGATCAGAAGAGTCAAAGGCCTCTTGAATGCCTCGCGGAGTCTCTTGGGATGTCTCTTGGGACATTCTTTGAGGTCTCTTGGGGCGTCTTGGGGGCCTCTTGGCGATCCCGGGAGCTTCTTGGACCGTCTTGGGTGCCTCGTGGGAGCCTCTTGGGGCCACTTGGGGGCCTTTTGGGGGTATTTTGGGGGGCTCTTGGAGGCCTCTTGGGGCCTCCTGGTCTCCTCTTGGGACCTCCTGGGCGCCTCATGAGGCCCTCATGGGGCGCTCTTGGGAGCCTTGGGAGCGCTCTTGGGGCCATCTTGGAGGTGATCGATCAAAGGAAGGGGGTCCCCCAATTAGCGCCCCCCCTCGGGAGCCTCCATCATCGGCCAAAACCTTAGTAAAACCGATGATTTTGGCTTCCTCGCCGAGGCCGTTTTGGACGCTCTCACTACCAGCGGCCCCCCCCGTCCAAGTCCAGGGGAGGGGGTTAGGGGGAGGGGTAAACCCCTCCCCGAAGGGGATGAAGGAGGTTGGAAGAGGAAACTCCCACAACCACCTACGCCTAGAGGGCTGGTGGGATTCCGGCGCGGGGTGGAGCTAGTTGGCCCGCCCGGCCTGGGCGGAAAATGTGATGATCGGTTTTTGGAAGATTGTGAGCGATTTGAAAATTCGTTTTGGGAACCAGTACTTTTCGCACCAGTAGTGGGTTATGCCGCGTGTGCTTGTGAAGTTCTCAGGTCTGTAGCTGCAGTACTACTATCGAGACAATTGGGGGAACCGACTTTGCATTAAAACCAAAATTGTATAGTCTGTTATGTTGGTAGACTGCAGGTTCAGCGTAGGGAAGTGGGGGCTTTGCCATAGCCATTTGGGGTCCGTAGTCGTGGGCTCGAGATCGAGCCAGGACTCGGGGGTCCCGGGGGGCCGCGGGGCGGCCAAAACCGCAGCGCCCTGCACCGCCAGCTCTGGGGAGCGGGTGTGCGGACGTGGCCGGCGCTACCAGCCTCGTGGCGGGTGTGCGGGCCAGCGGTGCCATGGCCGTGGGCTTCCTCGGGGCGCATGCCGTGATCTTGGCGGTTGGTGGGGCGTTCTCGGCCCAAGGGGCGATGGGTTGGTGGCTTCTTGGCCGCGCGGGGGACGCAATGTCCCCAGCGCCGGCGCCGCCATCTCAGCCCGGGCCGAAACTCCGGCCCGCGGGCGGCGGGGGGCATGGCAAGGGGCGAGCTCCGCCCGCCAAGCCCGCGCCTGCGGGAAGGAAGGGGCGAGGGCCGCCGGCCAAACCTCCCGGGGTCACCATTACCATAACCACGACGACGACTACGACGTCGACGACTACGACGACATCTTCGCAGCCCGGCCCGAGCCGCGAGCGCGGGGGCGAACCCGCAGTTAGCCCAGCCGCGGCCTGGCCCGCAGGCCCCATTTCCATTACGACTGGCGTTGGCCGCGCGCGCGGGAGCGGACCTTCGGGTAGCCCAGCCGCGGCCGAGCCAGCGGGCGGGTCGGGTGCCCAGGGCGGCCCCAGTAGGGAAGAGCCACGCACCCCGCCCACGCATCCTGGGAGACCCGGCGAGGCATCAGGCCAGCCGACGGGGTCCCTGGGCACCTACGGGCCCGGCGAGGCAGCGCTGAGCTTCGACCCGCTGCGCTTCAGCTGGCTGGTTGCTGGCTGGTTGGCCTGCTGCGCGTTGGGCGCAGAGTTCCGACATCGCCGCATGGAGGCTGAGCTGGCCGAGAAAGGCACCAACCTGCAGCTTTGGGCGACCGAGGCGCTCGACGCCGGGGAGAAGCTGGCCGAGGCCCGGTCGCGGTGCACTGCTCTGGAGGCTGAGCGGTCTCGCGCCGCCGAGGGAGCCGAAGCGTGGCGCCGGGCTTACGAAGAGGAGGCGACTCGCCGGCAGGAGACGGCACGGCGACAGAGGATGGCCGAGAGGCTCGCCCAAGGGAAGAGCCAGGCGTGCGAGTACGAGCGGGCGCGCAGATTCCGTGCCGAGGAGGCCTTGGCGGGGAGCCGCGCGGACGTCGACGTCGACAACTTGTGGGCGTGGATCGACGGCCTGTTGGCATGGATCGACCGCCTGGCGACGAACCTCGAGCTGGGGGCCATGATCGCCGAGAACCTGCGGGCCCGCGTCGACGAGCTCGAGGCTGCCGCAGAGACGGGGGGCGAGGCAGGAGTAGGCACCGCGGACTTTGTCACGGAGCCACGCGCCGCTGGGGACGATGAGACCGAGCGGGCGGCCCCGCCGCCCTCGCGCGAGCCCGGCGGGGTCGCTCCGACCGAAGGGGCCGGCGGCAGAGGAGGAAGAGGAGTGGGCGGCGGAGGCGAAGGAGCGGCGAGGGAGGAGGTCTTTCCGAGAGCGAGGATGAGGAGGCGGAGGAGGATGAGGAGGACCACTATCCAGGGGGAGCTCATTCCCGAGGAGCCCGAGGAGACCAGCCTCGGGGAACATCGCGCCCTGGGCGACTCCGCGGCTGCCTCGGGCCTGGCGCCGGGAGCGGGCGACGATGGCGACGACGATGCGGGGGTGCCGGGAGGGTCAGAGGTCAAACTGGTCCGCGCCCACGAGGACGTCCACGGCGCCCGGTTGCCGGCTGGTTGCTGGGGCTCCGCTGGTGCCAGCGCCCGCGCCGTCGCCGAGGCCCGCGCCGGCGCCAGCGCCGGCGCCCGTGCCCCCGCCGACTCTGACACCAGGGAGTACCGCAACGGGGGGGCGCGCATGGGGTCGTGGACAGGCGCGGACGTGGAGCTCGGCGCTGTGCACCTGGGCGACGCCGGCGCCGACGACCGCACCGACACCTACGCCTCCGCCGTCGCCCGCGCTGGCCCCATCGCCTGCGCCCGCGCCCGCGCCGACGCCGACGCCATTTGCGACGCGCCCGCTGACGCCGGCGGCCGCGACTTTTTTTTTGTGTTTTTTTTCTTTTTTTTTTTTTTTTTTTTTTTTTTTTTTTTTTTTTTTTTTTTTTTTTTTTGTTTTTTTTTTTTTTTTCCTTTTTTTGTTTTTTTTTTTTTTTTTTTTTTTTTTTTTTTTTTTTTTTTTTTTTTTTTTTTTTTTTTTGTTTTTTTTTTTTTTTTTTGACTTCTTTACTTTTTTCTTTTTTTTTCTTGTTTTTTTTTTTTTTTTTTTTTTTTTTTATTTTTGATTTTTATTTTTTTTCGACGCCTCCGCCGGCACCAGCACTTTCGCCGCCGCCGCCGCGACCGGCGACGCCGATGCCGGAGCTGGCGCATATCGCAACGCGGCGCCTCCGCCGCCGGCTCCGGATCTTCGGCGCGGCGCTGGCCCCGAGCTGAAAGCGCGGCTGCGCCGGCGCGCCCTGCCCCTTGAGGGGGCCGGGGGCGCGCTCGCGGGGCACCGCTCTGAGCGGGCAACTGCGGAGGCGGCGGGGCGGGCGCTACCGGAGGCCAAGCAGTACTGGTTGACGGTTGTGCCCGAGACCTGGGAGGTCGCGCCGATGGATCGCGAGGAGCCCCCCCGAGAAGCCCCGGGGGCCCTGGAGTTGGGGCAGCCGCTGCTGGATGAGGCTCGCCGCCACCGCGCCGCGGGCGTGAGCGTCACCGAGGACTTGAGGAGGGCCGCGGGGTCGGACGGGGCCGAGACGGTCGTGGAGGCCGACGAGGTTTGTGACCTGGACTGGGCCAGGCTCGGCGCCGCGGGCCCCGAAGAGGGCCCCGTTCCCAGCATTGACGCCACCACCGTCGTCGACCCCGCCGTCACCGCCTGCGCCATCGTCAGCGCCGACGCCAACGCCGACGCTGACATCGACGCCGAAACACGGGCTGGCACCGGGGCCGCCTCCTGCGACGCTAGCGCCGACGCCCCCAATGTCTCCGCCTCCGCCGCCTACAACGCCAGCGACGACGCCAGCGCGGGCGCCTACG